CTTTATGTACTTATGTAAATTTTGCTTTTTTGATTTATTTTCTTCTCAAAGAGCAATTTGAAGCCACATGCATTTGAGATGAGAGATATTTTTTTCCCTGACTAGAACTAAAGATTTCATATTTACTTTTGTTGAAAAATCCAGAATCTCGATTGGAAGAACCCGTGGTGGATCTTCCACCACTCAAAGTGAAAGATCTTCCTGAGTTTCAGACGCAGGATCCTGATGCATTTTATAAACTAATATGTCGAGTTGTTGATGAATGCAAGACATCTTCAGGGGTTATTTGGAACACCTTTGAGGAGTTGGAATCATCTGCATTGTCAAAACTGCGCCAAGAATTTTCCATACCTATATACCCTGTAGGACCTTTACACAAACACATTCTTGCAGGCTCAACTGCTTCTACTAGCTTATTAACCCCAGACAAAAGCTGCATCTCTTGGTTAGACAGACAAGAACATAAAAGTGTTGTTTATGTTAGTTTTGGGAGTGTGGCTGCAATAAGTGAGGCTGAATTCTTGGAGATAGCTTGGGGTTTAGCCAACAGCAAGCAACCATTCTTGTGGGTGATTAGACCTGGGGTAATCCGTGGTTCAGAATGGCTTGAACCATTGCCAATTGGGTTCCTAGAGAATTTGGGAGGAAGAGGTTACATTGTGAAATGGGCTCCTCAAAAACAAGTGCTGAGCCATCATGCAGTGGGAGCATTTTTGACTCATAGTGGTTGGAACTCAACTTTGGAGAGCATATGTGAAGGGGTTCCAATGATTTGTATGCCATGTTTTGGAGACCAAAAGGTCAATGCCAAATATGTGAATGATGTTTGGAAAGTTGGGATGCAAATGCAATTACAACACAATAAGCTAGAGAGAGGTGAGATAGAGAAGACCATTAGGAAACTAATGGTTGGGGATGAAGGGAACGAGATTAGAAAGAATATCTTAATTATGAAGGAAAAGGCAAATGTTTGCTTGAAAGAAGGTGGCTCATCTTCTTGTTTCCTTGATTGCTTGGTTAGTGAAATATTGTCGCTGGAATCTTCTACGTCTAGACCTCATTGATTCCTCTATTAGTTCAGGACAACTAGCGCTTGTTCTTTTCTAGCTTGGATGCCTCCATGCTCTTTCTGCACATTGTAGTTTGATCTATTTTACAGTGCTAATAAACTGATGGCTAAGGATAAATTAGTCGTTACAACTGCTCCAAATTAAAGTGAAATTCCATTTCCATTAACCGTTAATGCAGAATCAAATTGCAGTTAATAATACTCTTTTGTCCCTTTTGTATTATTGGTATGATGCCATGATTTCTTAGCTTAATTGTTTATTTTCATCAGTAAAGTTTACATGTCTTCGTTTAAAGTACAATAGTCAAAGGCATGAACTATGCCCCTAATAATGTATATAATCCAAAAATTGATAGGGGAAAAGAAAAATAGTACGGTCGAGTTTAGTTTCATATTTCCATTGGTTTTGGTATTTAACTGCAGTTCAGTTAAATAGTCTTGATCATATTCAACCATACAGAAATCTTCAAAATCTACTTGATATACTAAGCAAAACTAAGATATTATTTCTATTAATTATTTAAAACGAAAGCCAACCTTGATCCAGCCTTGTTAATTTTTTTTTTTTTTTAAATAGCCTTGTCAAATTTTCGTTGATACAGTTTCCCCCTTCTTTGTTGAATGAAGTTAGGTTTGGTCATGCCTACCTTTTAGAAATTGAGTTAGAGTATGTTTGGATGGAATTTTTTTTCTTCAATTAATTTTTTTTTAGGAAAAAAGTGCTTCTCATTATAAATTAGTGTTTGGATATCTGCTTTAAAAAAAAGGAGAAATAACAAAAAGCTAAAAGATAGTTTTTTTGGAAGCTAAAAATGTTAGCTTATAAAAAAAAGTGGGAATCAAAAGTCATATATTTTTTCAAAATCTAAATAACCTTAGTTTTTGTAAAAAAAACACTTTTTTTTGGTAAATAATAATAAAAAAAACACTTTTAAAATAAACAAAATATAAAAAATCTTTTTTGAAAAAACTCATCCAAATGGGTTAGAAGAGCCTGCGGACTCAAAGACAAAGACCTTCCTAAGTTCAAAACACACAACAATGATAACTTGTATGATCTATGAGACATTGACCATACTGACACGCTTGTGACTAACACCGGTATTCCACATTCCAATTAAATTTTGACAAAATGCCACGTCACATTCTCGCTAAGCCACCCAGCGAGAATGGACTGGACACGTGGCAGCGTCTGCATAGCCAACCATTCTCGCTGAGTAGCCCAGCGAGAATGACAAGATGCTGACATGTGACAAAAATACAGTTATTCTCTCTGGGCAGCCCAACGAGATTAGCCACCTGAACAACTTTTGCAGAGAATGCATGTATTTTTGCCACTTGTCAGCATCCTGCCATTCTCGCTGGGCTGCTCAGCGAGAATGTTTGGCCATACAGACGCTGCCACGCGTCAATCCATTCTCGCTGGGTGGCGTAGCGACAATGTGACATGACATTTTGATAAAAAATTTTCCTAGCGTGACAATCCAATAAATTTTTGCCAAAAAAATGGCAAAATGGTCATTATCCTTATGATCTATACCCAACATGTTTAAAGAGATCAAAACAACCCAAACCCGTTGGCTCAGATGGAAGGTGTCTGAGTTCCCTTAACCAGTGGTCTCGAGTTCGAGCCCTGGGTATGGAAAAAATGGATTGGGTAGTGCTACCCCCGCAAGGGACCGAAAATGCACGGTTGAGATTAGTCTCACCCCCAAAGGGGGTGGGGATACCCTTGAGTACACTCAAAAAAGAAAAAAGAAAAGAAAGAGATCAAAACATCTTTATTTTTTAACACTTTCCAACACCTTGAACAAGCCACACTTCTTACTAGCCACCGGGCCTTCCCTATCCCATTCTTTGCAATAGGCCCATTTCACAAATACTTCCTTGCAGAGCCCTCCTCTTCAAGTAGCTTCCTAAAACAAGACCAAAGCGCAATTTCCTGGTTCAACACTCAAGCACCCATCTTAGGGGCTAGCCAGTAGCCAGCAACCCTTCTCGTGGGTGGTTCAACCAAGGTCAATACGTGGCTTAAACCATTGCCAAAGGGGGTTCCTTGAAAATTTGGATGATGGAAGGGGTCACATTGTGAAATGGGCTCCGCAATGTTAGAAAATGACTTTGTCTTAGATTTTGTGTAGATAACTATAGTCATTATGTTATCCGATGTGATCTTGGTAAACCTCAGACAGTTCATGATCCAAAGGCCTTGACGTACGATTCGTTTTAAATCATTATGATTAACGTTCAGGAAAATAAGATGACAATGGACAATAGAAGTAATATACCATTTTTTTTTTGTTTTTTTTTTTGGGGTACAATAATGTACCATTCTTGTATCCCAACCAAAATGGATAAGAAGATATATGGCCTAACACTATATTCTTGTTGGGTTGGGCCTACGGGTGCTAAACGAACCAGGGGCCTTTGACTCGATCGGCTCGTAAAGATCTGAGCTTATATGTTTAAAATTGATTGTTGGAATCAGACCTGTATTTGTATAAAAACTCGTTTAATAAAAAGGTCTTAGGCTCTAATTCAGAAGTTCGCCCTTAGAGTCTCTCAGGCTGGCCTAGTGTATGAATATTTATTTTATATTTTTTATACTACTTGTAATATCCCTCTCTCATCAATTTATTTCATCCTATTTTATTGGTTTAACAGACTTTTTGAATGATTTTGTTCTATATTATGATGTTTGGATATATATTAAATAGGATAGGATATTGTGGCACACAAATAATGTTACGCACAATGTTACGACCACATCTTAACCGTTGATTTCCGTCAATCAACGATTATCATTTTTCAAATCAAACTCATTAATTAATTATTAATTCGCAATAAATGATAACCGTTGATTGGCGAAAATCAACGGTTAAGATGTGGTCGTAACATTGTGCGTAACATTATTTGTGTGTAACAATATCCTATCCCATATTAAATTTATAAATGTTTATGAAATTACTAGTGTTTTTTATTGTATATTTTGTTTGGATAAATTTTTATTGTCTTATTTTTTTTAAACATGTTAACAGGCCAAACAAGACTTTTATTTTTTGTAAATAAGTCAGGCCACATGCCGATAATTATATTCAGAACAGATAACATGCTTGGTCAGATTAACATATTTAAACACACACTTAACTTTTTAAGACTAAAACTCAGCTCGGCTTGGCCCAGCCGTTAACCCCCTAGTTGGGTCGTTCCTTGCAAGTCCATTTTTATGCCGATTTAAGTTTTTTTTTTTGGTAAGCCTAAATAATCATAGTCATATCATAGGCTCAATTTCTCACATAAATCAAAACCATAATACTACCAATATATCTAGATGAATGCGTTTCATTTAAGACCCAACATATTCAGGTGGAAAACTTTTTGGGCAGATAAAATAAAGAAAATCATAGTTTTATGTTACTAGAAAAAAAGTTATCTTATCTCACTCATTATAATTATGTACTCTTTGGAATATATAGTTATAATATTAAAGTTATTTTTTTTTTCTTTCTTCAAAAGTTATCGGTTAATGTGGAGAGAGAATTTTTTTTTTTTAATATTATAATTATGTACTCTCCGAAATACATAATTATAACGGGTGACATAAATTTTTTTTTTCCAGCAATGTAAGAAAAAAGAGATCCATAAAATAAATGTAATAAAAACTTTCTGCAGGAATAGCAAATTTAACTTTATTACAGACATGAAATCTAATCTACACCCAATCGGAAAGCACTGATAGTAGAAGGCAGAAATTAGATTTATGCAGGAATTATTCACATTATCCACTGAAATGATCAAAAAAAAAAAAAAAAGTCTTCATTGAGCATCAGAAAGTTGTTCCATCCTATAATTTGTAGCGATAAAAAGTCAGAAATGAAGGAACTAAATTAGTGTTATAGCTTAACTACCAAACTTAACCATTTATCAAGGGATGGTCTATTTACAAAATATGATGGAACACAAAGATTTACAAATCTTCATCGCTCTCGCTGGTATATGAATCATCCAAGTTCAGGGCTGCTACTTTTGAAGCACTAATCCTAAAAGAAGCTGAACGAATCTTGTAAGGTAACTTGGCATTGGTTGCAACAACCCCACCACACTCAGCAGCTTCCCCTTCTTTCTCATGCTCTCTCTTCAAATCACTAGGAGGTAGGAAGCAATCAATGGACAACCCTTTAATATTAAAATCCACTTCCTCAACTTGCCAAACCTCTTCCATTTGTGTCCTCGAATGTGTCTCAGGGCCTTCACCAAACCTGAACAAGGACACCCAAGTCTTCCCAGAATGTGCTATTTGAATTCCATCTATGGTTCTGTAGTCTTGTATGAGGGACTCCATGTTGGTTTCCCAATATATGACCACACTTTCAGAGGACTTGAGTTTGAGCAAGTGAGAGTCTTCTAGCTGAACCAAAAGTCCTGTTCTCTGGCTGAAGTAGCCCCACACCGTGTGGCGAACTATCTCTACGTTGCTGTTGCTTCTTGCTTGCAGTGCTGAGGACTCGGCTTCGTGTTTCAATATGAAACAGTCTTCGTTATTCACTGTCTTCTCTCCAATGCATATAGAGCTGCTGAAGAGATTAGCCGTGGACCTTGGATCAAGCCCCTGTTCAAAAAACATTATAATTTCGACTATTGGATCACTTGTGTAATATTCATAATAAAAATGTGAATATAGTAAGGGTTTAATTTTTTTTATATTGCATTGTCTCATGCAACACACAAGAAAGAGGACGAAATCCACTAAAAAAGAAAGAGAAAAAGAAAAAAAATAAGTCTCGTCCATTTTTGTGGGTGTTACATGAGACAAATTATCTCATGCAAGATAAGAAACACATTTTCCATATAGCAATGTGTATGGGTTTTGCACTGGGTACTACAAGTATGGTAGTTTCTTAGCAATGCACTCGAAGAAAAAAGTGTCATTTTTTGGTTGAGGATGTATAATATTAGTCCTTGCTTCCTTGATACTAAAAGTTTTTTTTTTTTTTTTTTTTTTTTTTTTTTTTATGTTCCAAAAAAACAAAAACAAAAATTCTTCTATTTTCTTTCTTATGGATCAAGAGGCTCGAGGCAAAAGAATAAAACAGCTACGGAATGAATGAAAACAGGTTGTCACACACGGAGGAAAAATTAAGATATTTTTTTGACTTGTCTTAATCGCAACTACTAACTTTTGGAAAAATTCCCTATTTGACTTTCAACTTTAAAAGGAAGAAATTTCCCCGCATTCCCCTCTTAGACTGTTGACTTTTCTTATTAAAATTTAGACCTTCTGGTTCCGGAAGGGAAAAGGGGGTGCATATTTCAAAGGAAAAACAATAGGAAAGAAAATCAGTTTTTGTCGTTTGCTAATTCCTTTAGAAAATAATTATTAGAGGCACTTTGTTACGCTGGATTCTTTTCTTTGTTGTTGACATGTTTTGGTTTTGGGAGTTTGACAATATCCAACCCCGCCTTTCTTCTCATGCTATATATGGGGAGCTATACTATTTCAAGAGTTGTTAAAAAAGTGATGCATATACGATGGAAAGCAAATTAAAAAAAAAAACCCCAAAAAATAAAAAAGAATGAAGAGAAAAACAAAGTAACACTTAATAAACATGGTAGAGTTTAAAATTTAGAGGGCTCTTTTGCCCCTTTATATTGGTCAGAGGAACCCCACTTCACGCACACTTGAGCAAAGGAAGCCGAGAGAGGCAATTATGCAATTACATTGAAAATCAGTGAAAAATGTACTCAAGTAGAATGATTCATTTTTTACCCCACCTATATACAAATCATAATTAAGCATGCTCCATTGTGTCCCAAACAAACAAACAATCACTATAGCATCAATTTTATCGCAATCAGAATTAAGCATGCTCCTTTATACAAACAATTACCAACCCCTTTAAAGAAAATAATAATAATAAAAAATATATATTTTGAGGAGGAACTTTTGCTTAATTACCTGTAGAAAACGCCTAAGGGGTCTTGGTGGACCGCGAGAAGCATGAGAATGATGCCAAGGTGTTTGCCTCCATGCCACTTTACCATCACTTCCGGCACTTATCTTGTAGCCAGAAACCACAAGCTCTAAACACCATAGCTCTGGCCTTTTCTGCCACACCACGAAACCCCCCATCTCTCCCTTCATCTGCATGTTCTTCACCTTCACCATCTTCTTACTATTCACACTCCCTTCCCCTGCTGAAAACTCTGAGGTTCCCATTTTCACTTGCCCCATAGCATACATGCTGTCAACTGAATTCAAAGCATGTTCTCCTCCCACAGCAGCCACATACTGTTTCACTATATATTTCGCCATGGAAACCTCCTGCTTAAGCATATACAACACACAAAACAATTAACAAACATCACAAAAAAAACAAAAGGGTCTTTTTGTTTTTCATTGTTATGATCAACTTCTATTCCAAAAACAGTGCAAGAAAAGAAAAGAAAAGAAAAAAAGCCTTTTTTTTTTTCTTCTTTTTTACTAACAATGTGTTGGTCTTTAATGCTGCGAGTGATGGATTGGTTGTCAGAGGTGATAGGTGAAGGAATTAATGGCGCTCCCACAACACCTAACAAAAGCTGAATCTCTGTGTTTCGGCCTCCGAACATTGCTGTCATGGAAGCTGCTGCTGATGATCTCGATTCAGTGTTTGGCTTCATCCAAGACTTCATGTTATGCCAAGCTCTTATGGTTCCACTCTTGTGTGTGAAAATCTCCTCTGGAATAGGGACCTCAAGCACAGTTTCGAGCCCATCCTCACGATCAAGATTGGGACAGAGCTTCTTCATAGCAGATAGCAGAGAATTAAGAGTGTGTACTTTGATTCCGTTCCAGAGAGAGATGCTTTGGAGATAAAGGATAATGGATGTAACTAGTTTAGGATATGAGAAAGTAACGAGAGGGGCAAGGAAGGGTCGAAGTCTTGAATACAAAGATAGATAGATAGAAAGAAAGAAAGAAAAGGTTTAGTATGAATACTTGAGTATGAAACTTTTGAAAAGATTACCAACCAAACTAAGGTGTGTGGGGGGGCCCTTTGTAACGTGGTCCTCTATGTCTATGTCGTGTTTGCACGCCTCTATTATTCACACTTCACATTAACTTAACAGGGGACTTAAACGTATGGTTTCCTTCTAATTTAGATTTTTTTTATTGATGGTGACTTGTACTTATAATTTCATGTTAAGTCTTTTTTTTCCCCAATGGGAACGTGTTTAGTTAGGCTGTCGATTTTAAAGTGAAAAAGTTACTGTTTCATGTCACATTTTAGATATTCTATCACTGTCTTTGGTGTTAATCTTCATTTTCTTTGGTAGAAAACTGGAGATAAAAATAAAAGTCCTATGGTTCATATTTAGTTTGGTGCTTAAGTTAGTCTTTCACATCAATGTTTCTATTTACTTCATGTTTTGGGTCTCCAAATAGAGCGAGTCAAATCTTTTATCATTTTGTTGAGCAACGGAGATAAGATCAACAATCTGATTTCGGTAGAATAGGATGCTTATCCACTCCTCCTTGAAGCTTGATAATTTTTAGAGTAACGGGGACTTCATAAAGTTTTGAGTGTTGCTAACCTTCTTAATTACTCAATTAGATGAGCTAATTCCCTCCAACTTCTTAGTCCAAATAGTCACTGAATATTAAATTTTTGGAGAATATGAGTAGAATCAATATCATAAAAATTAGATACTATTTTCCTTTTCTAGACGTGCGCATGCCTATTGCACTTATATTTGAAAGTCTAATATGTAACAATGTGGTACCCGGTCTTTTTCATATGTATATATTGAGAATACTATATATAGGCAATATTTCCTGTAATTGTGTGAGGGAGAAAAATATACACTAACTTGGTGTGTTCCCTACATAACTAATTGAGATATTTCTCTTTTCACACACATATATATATATTTTCTAGGATTAAGAATCATCTTATGAGCATGATGAAATGACTCTTTAGTGGAGCCCCTAGATGTCCCCTTAGGAGATGTGAGGACGAAGTGGGGATAGAAAAATAAATAAATTGAGATGAAAAGTATTTTTGGGGGATCAGATATTCCTATTTTTGTTGCATGACCTTAATTACTACCTTGAGCTCAAAACAAGGGATAAAGCAAACTTTTTTTTTAATATAAATGAGTATGATAAAAATGTAACAACCTACATACGAAGTGAAAGAAAAAAAAAAGTAAATCGAATTTTAGATTACCCCACATATCAAATTTTGCTAGCTTATACAATGGCGTGTATAACTTTTACAAACATTTCCCCAAAATAATTACAAACTAGATAAGATCATATGCTTATCCATGATACACTACTATTTATTAACCAAAGAAAAATATATATACACACACACCAAGAAGATGCATGTCCCATAACCACATAAAATAGGGAAGATGCAACCGAAATTCGAATAGCAATTGAATCGAGAATGGTGGCACACGGGCACGCACGAGATATTGGTCAGGAACAAATGAATCTATCTAATCCATGTCTACAGTGGACAGGGGGCATAGCCATGTGAGCTGTGCCCTGATCCTATTTCCGATGATTGATCCACAGATTGCATAATTTGGCCCATAAGCATGGCGACACGTGTCCCCGTTGAGCTGACGAGGATGTATTAACAGACAAAATTGGTTGTTGTCGTTTCCAATCATGCCATGCATGTTCTCATCAACAAATGTCGCTACTCTTTTATCTGTTTGGGCTGCGACGACGTGAACAATCTTCCTTGCCACAACTACAAGAATTGCTTTATTTCATACATATATTTTTGGGGTGCATTATCAACTACGAGAAATTTGTTATTTAAACAAAATGGTTTCTTTAACTACATTATTTTCTTAAGGTTGTCTTGTCCCCTACGATATCTCCATAGATTACAAAGCAGGTCAACACCCACAAAGCAAATTGTATGTATCCATAAAAGAAAAAATCAAGATTTTTTCTTTTTTAAACAGAATTGTAAGTATTGATAAGAGAATGAATCAACACTTGATATTATGATGATAAAATATATGTACGTACATATTAAACTACCAAAATAAATTCTAATATGGATGTAAATAACAATTCAATTTAAAAATTTGAACGGGGATAATACAGGTTTATCTACTTGTGTTAAGAAACTCCAGTAAAAATTGAACTTTTAACCATTTAGTCGTAGAGATTCTAAAATTATCTAAAATATTAATTCAATCCAAAAATTTAAACTATTTCTCAACCAGTCGAAAAGAAGATCTTATTTGCATTGTTTTAATGTTTTTTTTTTAATATTTCCTGATAGTTGACATAATATATAACATTGATATTAATTTTTTTTATTCTAATAGCACTAATAGAAATTAGAATAAATAATAATTTACTTTGTTACCGTTATAAAGGGATTCTTTTTTCCTTTGGTTACTTTTTTTTTCTTTCCCTGCAATATCATTATAAATTAGCAAGCAAATGAAAAATATAAAAAGGATGAAATTGTATATACATTTTATTTTGCAATTATAATTGATTTCAAACATTATTAATACGGGTGCAAATGATCCGAATATTTGAAATTTAGACTTGTGAGAAAAAAAGAGACTACTCATATTTGGATTTAAAGTTGAGCTCGAATCGAACTTAGACCCGTGGACTTGGATGTCTTTCTATTTGGAATAAATCTTTGATGCTACTGTTACACCAAAGATTCAATACATTCTATCAATGAGAGTATCACATGTCAGTTACAAAAAAAAATTTATGCTAAATTTTCTCTCTCTCCTCTGACACGTAATGCTCCCATTGATGGAGTATACTGAATCTAGGTGCAACAATAGTACCAAAGATTTATTCACCTGTTAGATGACATTAACCACTTAGGAAGGAAATATCTTCCACCGATTCCACCTAGGTAGCTCTTTAGGAGCAAACTTTGGGTGCTAGGTGGCAAAGTGGGCGGCCCACCCCGGCATCAACCCGCCAAAAAATGAGTCAGCCCGTCCGACCCCGCTTTTGAAAGTGGGCTCAAAAACTCAGCCCGCCCCGCCCTGTTTGGCGGTTGGCCCACCGGCTCGAGTTTATTTTACATTGACCCGCCTCGGCCCGCCTATGCCTGCCATTAACCCGCCAAAAAATGAGCCCGCCCCGCTTTTGAGATGGGTTGAAAAACTTAGCGCGCCCCGTTTAGCGGGTTGGGCGGGTTGGCCCGCCGAGCTGAGCCCGTTTTGCCGACTCTAGGTGCTACTATCAAGCAAGCACGGATAGTCGGATACGTTACTTTTCTTAAAATGTGCGTGTCAGACACGGACATGCTCTGACACGCGTCCGACACGCGGTCAACGCTACGACACGTTTTTCCGACACGCAGTCAACTTTTTCGGACACGTTTTTTTTAGGATTTAATTTTTTTATTAACTAAATAAAAAATAATAATTTGTAAATCAAATTTTTTCTATTATGAAATTTGACATTACCAATTAACAAGGTACGAAAAAATATTTTTGTTTATATTTATGTTATGAAATTTGAATATTTGATTGATTATATGACTTATCATGGGCTGTTATATGTATTAAATATGGATTATATTATATATATTAAAAATATTATTTAATATCAAAACGTGTCTCAACGTGTCGAAAAATGACATTTTTTAGAATTAACGTGTCGGCGTGTCGTGTCCCATGTCAGTGTCGGTGCATCATAGACTACTATTGTACCATACATCACTTTTAAAAGAAGAAAATTTTTGAATTTAAAAGAAATTATGAGAAAATATTTGAATTTAAATGGTATCAAAAATTTCTAATTTAAGAAAATGTTGTACCCAACTCGGTACAGAGTAGCATTGAAGAAAATTCCACTGTTTAGTCTCTGTTCTGTTTTCATTCTTTTCGGTTTTTTTTTGGGGGGCTCAATGCCCTCCTCCACAAGTATAAAAATAAAAAAATAAGTTGAGCTCGAATTATCCAGAAATACGCAACTTGAGCTATATTTAGCTTGTTTATAATTTGATTATTTTCTTTTCATTTATTAAATATTTCATCAAAATATTTTTTAAGTCTACTAGTCTAGTATTTTGTAGACATTATTGTATTAGATTATAAATAAAAACTAGAGACTTTATAAAAATCGAAATTAGGTAAGTTATAAATAATAATAAACAAAATTACAATTTAATATAAAAAACTAGTCTAGTATTTTCTATATCCTTCCTTATCTAAAATTATAATTTAATGTGATTATATGTACATAAAACAAACATGAACTTTTTAATATCAAATCTATAAAGTTTAGTTTAACTCATTTCTACAATCAAATTAAATTAAATATTAATTTTTTTGTTTAAAAAAATTAACAAATTTGATAGGATATTTAATGTGTCAAAATCAAATAATTCCTAAATAATTCAATTCAGTTAGACTTTTACTCCTCCACTTCCACAATGTAAATTTTTTTTATTCCTTTTTCCTTTTTTTTTTTTTTTTGGGGGGGGGGGGGGGGGGGGGGGGGGGGGGTGGAGTTGAAATTTTGTAGTCATAATGAACTTTTTAATACAACTTTTACAAAAAAAATCTTAACTAAATGTATGAATTTTAGATTGAGAGACGCATAAAGTCTGTGAAAATGCTACATCTAATATAAAGGGAATTCTCAGCTTCGCTTTCTATGCTTGTTTGTTTCTCTATAAATACAATTATTACTTAATTAAAAAGGTAAAATTGCAAATGCATTCTATTTAGCAACTGTTACTGTGTTTTTTTTTTTTTAAGCATAAGGGGCTGGAAGCCCCAAGAAAAAAATTATACAGAAATATCAGAAGTAAACGAAACTAAATTACTATAATCAGCCTCAAATAGCTGCAACAGTTCTTTAGGACGGTGCATGAGTACTTGGAGACCAGAAACTCCTCCAAGTGCAGCCTTTGCAAGCCAA